AGATGGACGAAAGTGGAATCAAGTATCAAAAGTACATGCAGGGACAACCAAATGCACACACACCTGAAAGTTCTATTTTTGAGATCGAGCTTGACAAGGCAAGGACGAATTGAGTCCGACTGTAGACTCTGGACTTGGTACTCGTACTTTCATTGAACACATAACCATGGTTGAAAAGGCTTGTGCGATCAAGTCCAGTATGCAGCTACACAGAACTTCTAGATGTGGCAGGAACCACTGCGGGATCGGTCGGAACAGCTTCTTCGGACTACCGCTTGGATCCAAGTTTTTTGAAGGAAGAAGCAAAGAACAGACGTAAGAAAGAGGACAGTCTAAAGTTAAAGGTCTAAAGAAACCATTGTAAAGAAATGTATGAACGATTTGCAAGGCCAAAGAATACAAAGGAAGATTACAAAGAAATGTATGAACGAGTCTGCTTGGATCTTTGTCCGAGGGCATAATTGCAATGCTGGCTGCGGCTTCGGTTCTAGCTTTTGCCTTCAGGCGAGAGCTGTGTCCAAAGACTCACTGTTTCTATTAGATCTTAACTTTATTTATCATATGTTACACTTTTTACACTTTAACAAACTATTTATCATATGTTTATTACCTGTTTTGCCTTTTGACCTTCCGTTGTTCCCCCTTGAATGTGTTCTGAATTCTTCCCCTTGTTCAATTGATGGAGGAGGCAGCGTTCAGCACCAGTGGGCCTCCAACAACCTTTGACAGCAAATGCGGATGGTCCATTCATCAATCAATCCGTTTGAAGTGCCTTCTAATTCTTTTGGAACTTGGCAATTTGATGCCAACGGATACAGTGGCACTTTGAACGTGGACCAAGAACAGATTGAAAGAAAAGGACAGAACCTTGGCTATACGATGCCAAAACACAACCACAAGTGTTGGCTCAACTCTTGACCCGGAATATATTCATTTTAAAGTTCCGGGATATTTTAAATTCAATACACGATATTCACAATGAAACTAAAAAAGTTAAACACATAATAATTGAAACAAACATAACAAACATACTATATATTATATGAAATTTATACAATAACATTGTTTGATAAATGAATTTGATTACGAAAGCCAACCGATAGGCTAGGCTGAAGTGTAAGATGGGGGAATGAAGTGAGTATTAGGGAGTTGTGGAGGTGGGTTGGTCGTGAGGAGGGTTTTGTTGGATAGGGTGAACTTAGAGCTTCCGATAGCGAGCAAAAGGGGGTGTTTAAAATATGTTTTATGAGGGTTTTGGTGATGCGAGTGAAATTACTGTAAAAAGGTTTAACGATGCATTTTTGGCACTATTAGGTGGTTATAATGTTAAGAAAGTGGATAAGTTGTGTGTATGCAACGATATAGGCATACATGTTCAAGACGCCGGAAGACGATAGTTGCTTAGGCTTCATGGTAAATACGACAACTTGCAAGTAGGTGTGTCGTCGCTATAAAGATGTCAACCAGAATGTGGGATATATTAGTAAAGTGAGTGCATAGAAATACATTTATGCAGTTTTAATAGGTGGGTTGAAATCCGTCATGACTTACGGATTTAGCGAAAAGGCAATTTGCAGTGGTGCCTTTTTAATTGGTTTGTCAAAATGTTGGGGAAGACAAAACGAGCACCAGCAAAGGGGGATTTAGCAAAGGGGGATTTAGCCGGTTTTTGTTAGGCAATTGTAAAGAACATATGTATTACTTTGCTTCGAGGATCCCCACCATGACATGTCATTCAGTTGTTTTCATGCCATGGTGAGGAGCATGGTGGAGGGTTTTGTGGTTCTTGATTTTGCTTGTGGGTCCTGGGGTTTTGGGTTGTTGTTTTAGTGTTAGGGAGTTCGCGTCGGGGTGTCGCCAGGGTTTACAACTGGCATTCTATCCAAACCGCGGCCCGGCCCTGTAACCACCTGCCACGCAAAATGCCACACAGGCACAGGCAATTATATATTGTTGTGTTGTGTGTAATGTGTGATGGGTGGTGGGTTGGTGGTGGGGGGTTGGTGGGGGTGGTGGTGGGTTGGTGGGGGTGGTGGTGGGTTGGTGGGGTTGTTGGTGGGTTGGTGGGGTTGGTGGATTGGTGGGGATGGTGGGGTTGGTGGGTTGGTGGGGATGGAGGAGGAGGATGAGGAGTAGTGGGAGTAGTGGCGGTATTCGTGATAGAGAGAACTGTGGCGGAGCCCGGAACCCCACACAGATAGTGGTGGTGGTAGTACGTAGTCGTAGTAGCAGTAGGAGTAGCAGTAGCGGTAATAGCGTGTAGTGTTTGTGGTTGTGTGATTGCGATTGTGCGTTTGTGGTTGTGTGCTCGTGCTTGTCTGTTTGTGGTTGTGTGTTTGTGGTTGTTGTTTTTTGTGATTGTGTGTTTGTGGCTGTGTGTGTGGACGTGTTTGTGGCTGTTTTTGTGTTTGTGGTTGTTTTTGTGTTTGTGGTGTTTTTGTGTTTGTGGTTGTGTGTTTGTGGTTGTGTGTTTGTGGTTGCGTTTGTGGTTGTGTGTGTGTGGTTGTGTGTTGGTAATTGTGTTTGTGATTGCGTGTTTGTGGTTGTTGGTTGTGTATTGTGTGTGTTGTGGTTGTGGTTGTGTGTTTGTGGTTGCGGTTGTGTGTTTATGGGTGCGTGTTTGTGGTTGTGTGGTTGCGGCAATCGATTGTGCGTTTGTGATTTCCTGTGGTTGTGTGTTTGTGGTTGGGAGTTTGTAATTGCGTGTTTGTGATTGTGTGTTTGGGGTTGTGTGTTTGTATAGATTGAGTAATGATCATTGTATTTGCGGTTGGATAAAATTTTGTAATAAATATAAATAAACAAATTATTAAATTGAAATATATATTGCAAATACATTAATAAATTAATTAAAATATATAAAATATTTTAATTTATATATTTTAATTAATAATATAAAAAATAACTAATACTATTGGGAATATATTTTATTGATATTTAATATATATTTTTTACTAAATAAAAACCACTAAATATATAATTATAAATATATGATTATAAACGCGTAATTGCAAAGGTTGC